AGAGGAGTCATCTGGGAGTCGATAGATCACGTTAGAAGTTTGATCTTCTTCCCTCGTTTGACAGCTGCGTCTTCTTCGTCTCACTCCAGTTTATCATTATAGAAATTACTTCAAAAACCGGGACACTGAGGAAAGCCTTTGAAGAAACGTTCAAGAAAAATCTAAGGGCTATCTCTGACTCTAATCTCTTTCAGAGACTTTGTGCCAAAATCATAATCTATCTTTGTGATGAAGCAGGGTTTGAATTATTACTGAGCCTTATGTCAGAGACAAGGATGTAAACAAGTGCGTGGAGTTGCATGCATTTGAAATTAAGGCACGAATATCCAAAATGTGTTCCTAAGTTAGTTAAAGGTTTCTTCTATATCGTGACATTACGCTTCATCTGGAATGTGTGTGGCCTCTGCAGGGTCTTTGAGATTTCCTACTGAAGCGCATAAGGAATGCTGTAGAGTTACTCAACTGATTTGAGTATGCAAAAATCAGTCAATTAACGTAGTGAGACGGCAGTGATTATGATAGCGGCATCATATTTGGGTTCTGGATGTTGCATGGAGCAGCCTGGATGTAGCAGTGTTGTTTTTTTTTCTTTTTATCAATGCTTGTACCTGCCTGGATTGATCTCTTGTGTGCTACGTAGTTTACTGTAAGTCACAGGTGTAAAAGTCCAGTCCTTAAGGGCCAGTGTCCTGCAGTGTTTAGATGTGCCACAGGTACAAAACACTGGAATGAAATGGCTTAATTACCTCCTCCTTATGTAAATCAGTTCTCAAGAGCCTTGCTAATGACCTGATTATTCTATGCAGATGTGGTGCAGCAGAGCCACATCTAAAAGTTGCAGGAGTTTGACACCTCTGCGTTCTACATTGCGGCTCCAACGCACGCGGTATACGACTCTGGCTTCAACAAAAATGAGCACACTAAGCAAATAGATTCATTCTGTCTAGGTCAAAATCGAGAGAAAAACTTTGCACACAAGGAGATTTCTGTGTGCTGCACTCCCCATGGAAGGACGTTTTGCTCACACACGCCTCCATATTGCGCATATAGACTGAAGTCTCAGAGGAGAAAAGATGTTGCTGGTTTCTAGAGCTGTTTGCCAGGCTTTCAAAGGGAAGTCATAGCAAAAACCAGGGATTTTGCATTTGTGCCAATGACTTCTATTGGCACAGAGAATTGTTCCAGGTTAGAAATGACGAGGCACAGAGTGCAACGCTCTGCCCAGAAAACACCACTCTGCAGAATACTATAATGCTTGATTAGTTGATGACAGTGCTGATGGTGTATCCTTGCTGACAGTAGCTGCTTCTCCACTGACCTTAAAATTGTGCAAATCGGAAAATAAAAAAATTCATTTGCTTAACTGAAATGTGCCAATTTCGAAGTAACTCTTTTCAATAAAAAGCCCTGGCGCTAAGATGAGGTGGTTTTTCTGCTGTATCAGAGTTAGTGTATTTTGCAAAACTGCAATGGAAAAACTTTTTTGCATCACACAAAAAAGACAAAGAAGGTGACAGGAAGTGGTAGGAGGATGAGGGAGGGGCATGTTTTATAATGATTTATCATGTGATTTTATTTAATGGAAACTTAAATTACAACATTTGCGGAATTTTGACAAAGTTTTGCGCACATTTGTAATGGAAACATAGCTGTGCAGCAAGTACTGCGGCCCAAGTACTTGCTGGACATTAGGGTCGTGCTTGTCTTCACTTTGAGGTTTGGAAAATTTGCAGCAGTCCAGCATAGCTTAAACAGTCTCGGCTCTCCAAAATGAGCGACCACAGGGAAGTCTAACTCTGATGTGAAGTGACCTTATCAAAATCTGGAAAGAAAACCTTACACACAGTGCAACAAGCTTTTTTTGAAGGCTCTGATTCACGACACGCAATAATAAACATGTAATAAAGCAGCTCTGATGCTCTGACACATAAGCCCAAGAGGAAGGTGCACACAACATCTGAGCTGGAGAAGGCTGAGTAGAGGGGGAAGAGATTATAGAGTGAGCGCAATTCTCTGTGAGTGACTATATGAATAAGAATAAGCGAGCCAGCAGCTGAAATTGGGAGCAGTGTGGGCTTTTGTGCACCTCTATATGGTGCACAGCCCTGCGTGTGTGTGTGTGTGATTTCATAAGAAAAAAGTGAAAGCAGCGTGCAGGGTGAAAAACGAAGGTGGCAGAATGTGAGGATGAAACGGGAGTCAGAGAGTTGAAGGTGGAGAGAGTAAGGCGCTACTTTTCCTGGGATTGTGTAAGAAGACGTGTTGGCAGCGAGCCGAGCAGCTCAGCATACCGTCAGGTGTGTTGATGTTCGATTTGGAGCGAGTAGGAAAAAAGAAAAATAAAGGGTTGATGCGCTAAGTGGAATGTGAACGCTTTTCACAAGCCCTGTGAAAACAGAGCAGAACGTGTTCTGTGGAGATAGAGCACGTTGAGCCATGTGGAAAAACACCCCAGTTAACCTTCAACGCCAACGGTCCGAACGGGCCGACATCGTATACGGCGCACGTAGCCATGCGTCATCTTGAGTCGGCTAATTAGATGTGAACGGGCGCCTTCTTAGCCTGCAGAAACATTTTGAGCTCAGTGGGAGAAAAACGCTCTTTTTCTTCAGCCCATTTCACTACGTCACAAAAGCAGTTTCCCAGCATCCCGTTTGAGCATCACACCCACAGTGGGAGCTGCATGCTGCGAGGTTTTTGCCACTTGACTGTGTGAGGACAGTCACAGAGGCCATGACTTTGTGTGTGTGATGCTAACACTCTGAGACTCTGTCTCCTTTTGTAGTGAGCGGCTGAATTATTGAAATTGTCGTTTGTGTGCAGTTGTGTGGATGTGCGTTTTCTGTGCATCTGCATGTGTTTGTCTCTGGACACAGATTTATGGGTCCAGTTAGAGTAAAGCAGCCATGTTTGCAGGAGAAAAAGTATTTCCTCCCTTATGGATTTCTTGTATTATTGCTTTTTTACACCTAAATTTAGATAATCAAAAAAAATATTTTAGACTATAATCGCATGAGTTAATACAAAAATAAGTTTTCAGATAACAGTTTGTCAAAACTAATCTGCACCTCTTTAAAAATTTAATTTTGCCCCTTTAGTAAATCTTAAATGAATTGAGAGCAATCATTGTTTTGTTTTCTTTTGGAAAGCTGAGTTCACACCCAGATCTGGCTCCTTCCAGATCTAAAGAGTCAATGAATTGTTTAATTACAACTTTTGCAACAAAATGGAAGAGAATAAACTTTAAAAGCAGCATGTCTTCCTGAAAAAATTCAAGTACCAGAAACATGGTCAGAGTGAGGAACAAAGATTCAAGTGACTTTGATCACTTAGCCAAGGTCGTTGATGTTTGATGATTTCCCAAGGCACGTAGTTTAAATTTCTTCAGACCTTGTTATTTGAAAGTCACACAGTGGGGGATAAAAGACAAAAAGCTCCATGTAAGAGAACTTGAAAGTTGTGGCATTATTGCTGTGTATCTCAAATATGACGCTGGCTGAAACTGAGCCAAAACTCCCGCTCAATAAAATCTTCCAGCATTAAAAATAAATTACGCGCATGCACATTAAGTTGCACGGCACTTGAAATATAATCTACCAAATCACTGCATCTGAGCAGCTTTTTTTGTGAGAGGATGACTGTGGTTCAGCCTTTTTTGCAGCTACAGTTTTGATCTATAAATTATTGATTTACTGTCCAAAGTGTGGCAGCAGAAATAATTTGCTTGTGCGACGTAGGAGATCAGAAGAACAGGCGGTGATGTCGCCATACGAGGAAAAAAAGCAAAAACTTGATGAAACTTAAACTGCGACGTCACAGAAGAAATAAATAACTGATTTAGTTTTTGCTCAAAGACTTCCAGCATGTTTGGAGTTGGACTGACATTTCTCTCTGGTCAGTCTATCAGTAGATAATGATTATAAACCTGGGTTATTTTCTAAAAGAAAGTATAAAAATGATGATTATAGCAAACATCTGTTGAATAAAATAGCACAGCGTATTCAGAAGGAGTCAGTGATCAAAGAGTCACCACTTGATGGCTGCAAAACTTTGGGAGACGGCTTGATGACACCACAAATCATAAACATACAGTTTATGATTTTTATGTGTCGGAGTCTTTATTGGAAAAATATGGAGCCAAAGATGTCAATTATGTATTTTTTTTTCATGGGATTAATGAATAGAACATTCATTTTGCTTTTGAGAATCATTCATGACAAACAAACTTTTGCTGAATTAATAATAATACAATAATTAAATATAATAATTATAATAGAATAATATAATTAATTAACGTTATTTGGACAGTTTAAAAAATTTGCCTACCGGAGTAACTTGATTTTATTTGGACGTTAATTATTTTCTATTAGCGTCTGCAACGTTATTGCTGAATGTCTTTGAAAGCCCTGATGCGTCGTTCGGCCTTCTTGCATTCTTAAAAAAAGTGTTTGTTTTTTTGTTTCTGGACTCGTCCCTGTAACTAACGGCAGCTCTCAGCTCCATTGGAAGCTGAAGAAATGAGGGTGAAATGATTTCACCATCATCTAAAATATTTCTCCCGCCTTGTCCACATCAATTATTTACACATTTTAAGGGGTGAGCTGCTGCAGGGATGAGCCAATCTGTTGCTGATTGGACGGCGTTGTTACAGTTAAGATAACGATGGCATTATCGCCCGAGAAGAAAACTGGGTTCAAATTGTTTGAACGTTGCCAAAAATAATTTTCATCTGTCTTGATGTGGGATAATAGCTTGTGACCTGATGAAAAAAGCAAATCTGATATTTTCTATTATTGATATTTGTAGATATTTGTGGATCTTACCAACCAAGATTACAGTTCATAAAAAGCTTTGACTGCAAGAGAAAATAGAGAGTTTGGTGTTGAAAGCATGTGGGCGGTCGGATCTGTGTTTTTCTCAAAACCGCACCCTTACAGAACCAAAAGGTGTGACTGTGGATGTATGTGTTTTGTTTTGTTTTTTGTTTGTTTTGTTTTTAGGAGCGTGGGAGTGGGAGCATCTCCAGGAGGCCCTGGAGGAGAAGCTGAAGAACTCGCTGGCCGTGGCTCAACTTATGGAGCGCATACGATCTCTTCTCAGCAGAGACAGGGTCAGCTCTGCTAAACATCACATCACAGCACACAGAAAAACATTCCTTAACCCTCCAACTCTTCCTGTGTTGTTTTTAGGCAAAAAAAGGTCAACGTACTATATTGGTTTGGGGCATAAGGGTTGTTTCACTCAAGTTAAAGGGAAATATGTGTGTTTAAAAATATTTTAAGCCATTGAAAATGCAGTCAGTATCCTGTAGTTATCCTACAGCACAAGTATTACAGAGCACCAGATTTTGCACTGCAGGTTTTGTCCGTTTCTCTAAAAATTCTTCAAGTTTTGCTATAGCTTCTCAGTTGGATTGAAATCTTGACTTTGACTGGGTCACTTTCCCAGCTGTTTGGATAGAAAATGTAGTTTTTTCACCTATTCGCAGCAACCGCAATAGAAAATAGATCATCTAAACACTTAATCTAGTGATGACAAAGAAATGCAGCAAAGTTTGCTTTTGAGAAAAAGTTACTGAAGGTTTTTTGTCCTAATTGGTTAATAAATAAACCGATGTTTTTTTTTTATAACTAATATTTTCTATTCTGAAAAGCAGAACAACCTGGCTCAGGGACTGTGATAAAAAAGAGGGAAAATTACATAAATACATTATTTACAAATGTTTATTTGTTTGAACATTTAGTCGTTGAATAAAAATTTCACTCTAAAGATTTTAAGAGTCCATTTGCATCCAGTATATAAACTGGACACCCCTGATTTCGCCCAGTCCGTACCTGTTCTTGCTGTATCTTTAAGGTTGCTGTCTTTCTATAAATGTTGACCAGCTTTTCCCGTCTCTGCTGAGTAAAAGTGTCCCCCACAGCATGATGCTGCCTTTCTTTCAAAATCCTGACACTCCTCCATAGAGCTCAAATTTGTGCATTTAATAAGAATGTAACCCGCCTGTGATTCATTCTAAAATGTATTTCCAAAGCAGTGTGTTCTGTATGAACATAAAAACAACAGCTGCCTAATGGGATGCATGAAATCCATAACAGAGGTTAAACAGCTGAATTAAATTTTTTTTTGAATGCATAAAAATATGTGTTTACCATTGCAGATTAAGAGGGCCTTCATTAGCGAGATCATATCAGTAATAATGCGTTTGTGATTATCATATTTACATAATCAGTGCCTCTAATCACCTCCCAGATACTGTGGGGATCAGCGCAACATAAACACGAGATGTTTTCCAAGAAGCAGAACGCAAGATCTGGAAGGGAGTCGCACTCGCATGGATGCTGTTTTCTTGCGGCCGCATCGTGTTTAGGTTGTCTATCTTTAGAGGAGGACACAATGCAGCAGACTTTTAACATTTTGTTGGGGAGTGAGAACGTGTGGCGCGGGGAAGAACTGACCAGCCTTTCTGGCACACCAAATGCTCCTACCTGAGGCAGCGGCTGACGCAGAGCGGCGGAAGCGGTCATTTAATGTGGCGAGGCACCACGATGTCCGGCCCTGATTCAATTCCTTCCTCTGCCAACCTCCTCCTGGTCATCGGCACGCTCAGGAAATTCAGTTTTAAAACAAGCCTCTCTGTGGATTATGAAATCAAAGGCCTGGTTTCTGTTGCCCTCGAATAATGTGCTCATCTCTCTGCAGCGTGAGAGCCAGAGATCTTTGTGCTCCAGCAGGCTGATAAAGGTCACGCAGTGGTAAAAGGATGCTTTATAACTCTCAGCCATGAACAAGCTTTGCACCATGCAAATGTTGACAAAAAGTTTTTTTTTTCTCTAATGTTTCATGTTTCATTTGCAGAGCACTAAACATGTTCTGTTTTTGTACAAATCTGAAAAGTTTTCTCTTTTCAAAATCTCACATTTTGAAAAGAGAAGAAGAAATCTGCATGAAACTCCAGATAATGTTTGCCACAACCCATGTAGGGAACACAACAAACATATGGAAGAACGGGAGGAAAAAATGAATTTTTGATCTGTGAGGACGTTTTTCTTTGAGCAGGGACAAAGACACTGATCAGAAATGATCGCATGAAACTGAATATTGGACAAAACTAGAAGAAAACCTGAAGAACGGTACGAAGGACAGAAGTAAAGCAGAGGATCACCTTTCAGTAGGACTTTTTTAAAGCTGCTCTTATAATGAAAGATCCATCCATTTTCTGACAGCCTTGTCCGTTGTGGGGCCGGGAGGTGCTGGTGCCTATCTTAGGCTGAAGTTTGGGTTGAGAGGCGGGTTCACCCTGGTCAGGTCACCAGTCTGTCGCAGGGCAACACAGAGACAGACAGGACACACAACCACGCACACACACACACACACACACACCACACACACACACACACCACACACACACACACACACACACCACACACACACACACACACACACACACACTCACCCACTCACACCTAAGGAGAGACCAGATTTTTATCTGTAAAGCAATTGGAAAACATGCATCTCTTTCTTCCTTGTTAAGCATTATCAACTAGTTTGTTGCTCTGGTACACAGTTTCAATAAAATACGTTAAAGTTTGCATTACTCTTATAGGGCTGAAGCGCTTCATTGGATTAATCACAATTATTGAAATATTCATCAACTGATTCAGTAATAGATCACTTGTTAACTGCAAATTGCCTTTCAGCTTTTTGCATATAAATCTTGCCTTTAAGATATAAAAAAAAAAACCTCTGCAGTTGTCACCGGTTTAATTCCTGGCCTCAGGCCATTTGCTGCATGTCTTCCCTTTCTCTCTCTCTTTCTTTCTCTCTCTGCCTTTCTTCCTGTCAAGCGACTAGAGCCATAAAGAAAACTAAAAAAAAAAACAACCTTAAATGTTTTATTAATAGGTGGTCGGACAACCGTCTGGTCTCCAATTTTCATTCGCTGTCGGCCACTTGCCGTCCCGTCGGTCTTGGCTCTGCAGTTTGAGTGTGTTTTATTGTAGCGCTGAGTAAAACTGGCAGGAGGGGCCATCTGTATTCTATGAGGGAGGCACAAAAGATGCTCAGCATGACAATTTTTCCTAGTAACAAGAAAACTGACACACAGCAGAGGAATGCTAACCACTTATGGCTTTCTGCTCCCTTTGTGTGTGTGTGCGTGTGTGTGTGTGTGTGTAGAGCTCCAGGGACACGCCGAGTGCACGGGCAGCTCAACTCGGACCCCAGACCCTCGTCAACCTCTTTAATTCCCCTCTTTACTCGGACGTCATTTTCATGGTTCAAGGTGGGCGCAGTCAAACACACTGACTGACAAATGCACACAGCAGCGTGAAGTGAATTATTAGCTCAGGTCGTCCATTAAGAGACAAATGAAGGTAAAAGAGCTGAAATCAAAAGGCTCTTTCCCACTTCTGTCATGTTTCATCTCCACAAAGAGCTTCTCCTCTCTATTAAACACAGAAATACAAGCAAAAGGGCCCAAAGCATCCCATAATCAATATTTATCTCATAAAGAATGCAGTGAGCTCCTCCTAGCCATGCACCCCTGAGCCAAGTTAAAATTTTAGAGGTCAAAGTATATTTCATAACAGTATATTTCTGTTGTGTAAAATGGAAACTCGCCACTGGCTGTAAAGTGGAGTTAATGAAGTGAATTTGCCCATGATGACTTTAGACCCCGTTTGTGATCATTTATTCCTGTGCTGCTGCAGGCGAAACACGTTTATTGTCAGCGCTAATGGTTTGTCCTCTCCAGTTCTTTACATTTCAGGGATTTTTTTTTTTTTTGCCGAGCGAAACTGTAAACCCTGCCGATTAATGTGCAATTCAGGAAGCGTGTTGCCCGCCCACCGAGCGGTGCTGGTGGCCCGCTGCGACGTGATGGCGGCCATGTTCAGCGGAAAGTACGCCGAGGCCCGGAGCAGAGTGGTTCCCATCCACGGCGTCTCCTCGGACACCTTTCTGTCTTTTCTGGAGTACCTCTACACTGACTCCTGCTGTCCTGGTGAGGCCACTGCACACAGCCAACCCACAGGTGGAACCCGCATTGCTGTTTTTGCTTGATATAAAGAAATAATGACAGCGTGGGAGAAGTGTTTCGCAGAGCCTCTAGGGCTGCTTTTAGCTAACTTTTAGACTAGATAAGGCCTAGATGTCCTGAAATAGAGAATATTCTAAATCTGTATACAGCAGAGCATCCTTCACAGACTCATCTTTTATTTTAGTTGCAAAATTTCACTGAGAAACAGTGTGATAAATCTATCTTTTAATTTTATCGTATTTATCCAGGAATAAAAAAAGATTAAGTTCAGAATGTTCATTTTCTTTTTAATATAATCATAAGAGTTTTTAGCAACTGCTGCTAAAACTTTGTGTAGCCAACCTTTACCAGTGGGACAGCATTTAGTCTCCTGTGACATTTCACAAACATACTGTTGAGCTTAGAGAGAGAGAAGAATCTCTGACCATTCATCCATTCATCTTTGGGCCATTTTTCTAGACCTTCCAGAGCTCTTGATTTCTTTTCTGTTAGGTATGGCTCAGACAATTAATGGTGATGAATTGATTATTGAAATAATCGTCAACTAAGTTAGTAATCAACTGATCGCCAAGTCAGAAAAAGGTCATTTGCTGAATATGACCCCCACATATCCAGTGTAGTAATTAAGCCAAAACTGTCCTCTATATATATATATATATATATATGTACATTTTGCATTTAAGACAAAAATACCTTTGTCTGTAAACGTGTTTTACCCAGAACTCCTTAAGTGGTGTAGTTTTAGTTTCACCCGGTTCTCTAAAAGAATGCTATGTTGTTGCATTTTAGGCAATGAAATGTCTATTTTCTTTCTTCATAAGGAGGATTTGCACCACTGATCTATTTCTAATATTGAAAAAGGCTTAAGAGGTTAAATGAAAAATCTGTAGAATGTGCCCATTTTTTTCTCGATTAATTGATGAATCATTGATCAATTAATCGATAGTAATCGTTAGCTGCGGACCTTGTTTAAGGTTTGCTTGTCACGGTTCCAGCTGTTAGCTTCATCGCTCTTTCTCTGATTGTAGACACGTGGAGATCAGGATGATCATCTGTTTCCTTGACAGCATTTACTGACCGATCAGAACGAACGCACATCTGCCTTTACTTTCATGAGATCTTCCCTTGTCTTTCCCATTTTGAAGAGTGACGTGCGTCTCTGTCACCTTATGTTCATAGGTGGCTGTCAATGAGGGATTTTACTAGAGCAATTATTTGATAACGTGTCATTTGCTCTGAATAAATGTTCTCAAATTAAAGGTTGGATTGCTCCCAAGTTTCACCGTGGGATCATGTTGCTGCAGCTTTTACACAGCCGTATGCAGCGCGGGATCTAATAATGAGGAATTTCCCAGTGAGCAACTTGTCAATAGACGCTTGATTGGTTCGTAGCAGATACCGGGGTCTCTCCGCATGCTGTGGAAACGAGCCCCACGAAGAAATCGGCAAACGACACAGGCGTGTGTCAGCGTTCCCACCCGGCCCTCAGTCACAAACCTAAGCCTTAAACAAAGACACAGACGACTGGTCTTATCATCCATCTGTGAGAGCGTGACGTGTTGCCAGTGTTGGACTCTGGAGACACTAGGAAAACAGCACTGAGCTTAAAATTCAATTAGATTTAGAGGGAAGCTTGAAATCGGACCGTGGCACTGCTGCTTCTGCTGCCAAGTCACAGCTCCACACATGTTGTTGTTTTCCACTGTCACACATTTCACTTTGAGATAAGTCCCTTGTTGTGACAATGCGGTGCTGTGATATTTATGTATCTGATTACAACCCTTATGACACTCGCTTCAACTGAACAGAATTTACTTCTAAAAGTATTTCAGCTTCCTTAGCCTTCATTTTAAACTCGCCACTGATAATTACTGCTTTTGACTCTTCTTGATCCGGTGACAGTTTCCACAGGGTCTCTGCAGTCCAAGCTTTTTCACATTTGGGGCTAAATTATCAAGTTGAGAGCACTCCAGGGCCAACTTTAGATTTTTTGTGAGTCTTAGTGGCTTTTATTTGAGAGGAATTAAGACAGGAAAGTATGTAATGAGAGAGGGGAAGACATGGGGCAAAGGTCATGAGGCCGGGAGTCGACCCTGTGACGTTCGCGTCAAGGACTAAGGCCTTCATACGTGGGTTGGGCTTGAACGCTGCGCCACCACAGCATCCCCACATTTTGTTTTTCTAAATTAAAACTGAACTGAAAGATTGGCTTCTTAAGACATTTGTCCCACAGAGACCTGTCATTTCTGCCCTCAGTCCAGCTAAATGAAACTCATTTAGAAACAAATAAGTTACAAAGTTTGGAAAGAGAAGACATTTTTTTTTTTTTACATAATTTTACAGTTTTACGATAAAGAGAAGCACAAAGCTTTAGTCAAGAGAGAATGGATGTATCTTCTTCATATTGGATGCTGATGTTTGTGGAAAATAATGTAAAACAACCAGATAGTTTTTTACAACATGAGGACAAAAATCTGTTGAGAGAAATTTCTCTCGTACTTTTAGCGTCATCATGTTGTTGAGCCTGAAAGCAATTATCCCTTGAAAAAACAGAAAAAAAAACTCCACTAAAATGTTAATCACATCACATTATTAATAATAAAAGAGCCATTATGGAAGGCTGCACTCCTCTGGGACAGAAAAACAGCAACGAACATCATGTTTTCTAAACTTTCTGTCTTCCTGAAAGCTTGAGTTTGAAAAAAAAAAAAAAAAAAAAAACAGAACAAATGTGCAAACTCCAACTCAGCCTTACTGTTATCTGCTGTGAGCTTTGCTCTCTCACAGCCTGAATATTTTGACATGCTGAGAGACATGCTGGATCTTCTTTTAAACACCCCACTGATACAGACAGCTGCTAACGTTGAGCGTTTTTCCAGCTTTAATCATTTCCACAACACAACAGATGTTGTTATTCGCTCCATCCTGGGAATGTTTATGGATTAAAAATTATTGGATTGTTCTTTTTCTTTCATTTCTCAGTGCATCTCTAGTGGTAAGAGCTTGATAGATACAAAGGCTTTTAGAGCGACACCACTTGGCACTAGTGTCTGGAAATGAACACATTTCTCTCTTTCAGTGACGTTATGAAAAGTAATATTGCAGTTTGAAGGACTCCTATAATTATTGCTCGTCTGCAGGATATCGCAACGCATTCATATTGTAGTGGCAATTAAAAAACCCAAAAAAACCCTACATTTATTCCTTAATATCCTGCTTAAATACCCCCAGGACGAGCATCTCTGTTTTCGCGGCGCTACAGCTTTATATCCACTCATGACTTCAGGAACATTGAGACCAAGAAGCTGCAGCTCCTGAAGCTGCAGCAAACCCTTCAATTACATAAGACCCCCGGCGCTCAAGGTCAGCACAAGGTAACTCCACAAGTATCGGTGACAAACGGAGCGCTATCAAAGCAGCGGGGCTAGCACGGCGCTTCACCCAGATAATGCGGTCTGAACATATGAAAGGAGACGTTCGTAACGCTCGTTTGAGCAATTGTGCGGCCAGACATAACAAAGCCTTCTGCGTTTGCTGCTGCTGCTGAGCTGATGGTGCAGCAGCGCGTCTGAGGCGCGCAGGAGGAGGGAGAGACGGGCAGTGAGAGCAGGATGAGGCAAACGGTGCCAAACATGGGGCTGGACATGAGTAACAGGAAATATTGAATTCAAGATTTTAATTGAATTCAAGAATGTAATCATAGACGTCATAGCCGAAGCTTATGCGTTATGCAATTACACTTTTGGATGTAATCATGATTGGATAATATCACCAGTTATAACGAAAGATGCTTGTTTTTCGCTCATTTCGGAAATCTTTATCAAGCTGCTGTTTTTGCCGAGTAATCTTTAGCATAAGGAGCCCTAATTTATATTTTGTTGATTGAGACGACCCATAAATAATAGGCATATGTATTGTTTCTATGACATAAAATCTAAATATGAGCGTTCCCGGCTTTAGAAGACGTCAATGACGGCAGATGAAACTGACGTTCATTTGGTAGTAAAACTTTAATAAGGGTCTGCATTAATAAAATGGCATAAATACAATCATATGTTAGGCTCTGATGCTGCCAAACAAGGCAATACCTCTAATAAAGAAACTGTGTGGTATCGTTCGTTTTGGATTTCAGGTCACAACTCTCAGTTCAAGCAAAAATAAAGGCCTTATAATACCTTGTCTATTATAATTGCCGCCTTTACCCGGCTCATTTTGAACTCGTTTTAAATCTATGGGTGTGCGTTTCTGTGTGTGCAGCCAGTGTGCTGCAGGCCATGGCGGTGCTGGTCTGCGCCGAGATGTACCAGGTGAAACGGCTCCAGCACCTGTGCGAGGTGTGCGTGTGCGCCTACCTGCAGAGCATGCCCAGTAGAGAGCTGTCGTCGACGGGGATCAGCGTGGTTCGACTTCTGCGTCGAGCGAAGGTGGGTGCCGCTGAAGCCGCCGTGTGGCTTGAAAAGCGACAGACTTTCAGAGTGAAACGCCCTGTTGATTTGCTTTGAATTGCCAGTGCCACAACGCAGAGCAGCTGTACGTCTGGCTCCTCCACTTCATCGCCAACAACTACCTGATCTTTAGTCATAAACCCGACTTCCTGGAGCTGTCAGGTCAGTGGGAAAGCTCATGTTTTCATCCCGGCACGACGCTTAGAAATGGCATCTATGATGTATTTCTTTCTTAATGTTTAATGCAGCAGAGTACGTCCACGCTGCCTCCATGTTGTGAGTGGGCTTTTTACTGAAATACACAAAAATCAGCGTGAGGCATTTCCTGTTTTAAGTGTTTGATTTCTCTGAGATATTAGCAGAACGACGATGTTCTGTTTCCCTTCAGATAATGATCAATGAATGTAATTTAGAAATGAGTCAATAAAGTTAATAAATCACCCAAAGCTAAGCAGCATAAAGATTTGCTCTCATGTGTTGCGGTTGCCAGTAGCAAAATGCACTAATTAAAAGGTAATTTACATTTCAATACAAACACAGTTAACCTCTGAAATGAGCCCTTTATTACAACAATGCAAATTGGTTTAATAGTGATTATTTGTTTGGAAAAATTTGAATAATAATTAGGATTCAAAATGTTTATCATTTATTGATGGTTCCAGAATTAACCGGTACAATCAATATCGGAATCGAACATTTCTTTGGTATATTTTCAGAGATGAATATGAATAACTTTTTTTAGTTAAGAGACATTTATCTACACAATCAAATCTATTAATACCGAAATTAAAATATGACTCATTTTCAGAATTATTTGTCAATTCTGAAATCACTTACGATGCGAGTCATTTCCAATGCGCCTCAGCAGCATCTTCATTTAGTTTCAATTTAAATTAGCTGAACTCGGATGACGAGGCTAAGGAGTCTCAAATCGAACTTCTACAGGCTTAAAACGCACAAATAATAGAGCTGCTCATGCAAATTACACTTTACAAAAAAGACGTCCATTTCTCCCCCCCACTGTGAATCTAGGCGGAAGGTGGAGCGACATTAATAACCTTCCTGTGTGAAACGGGCGTGAAAAGCTTTTCCTGCCCGCTGATTTGCATCAGTCGAAGTTCAAGACGATGACTTCGTCGCGTTTCACTCACCTCAGCATAACACGTTCATGTTTTGGACCTCAGTCCTGTAATTTAACTGGGTTCCTACATAGTCTTAACAAGTATGGGAAATTAGCTTTTATCATTTTGCAACTTTGCATAAAGATGAAAAAGAACGTGGAGGATGAAAAAACGTTTCAGCTTCGAGACAGTTTTGTGTTTATTAATATATGAACAAATGGAAACAAAATAAACATACAAAATAATATCTTTATAATGTTAAAGAATCTGTATTTAATAATTTGGAGATTTGACGACTCTTAACTGTAACACAGTTTGAAATCAGGATAATGTGACTTGGTTCGGATGCCAATGAGATAACATAGAAAACAAACTGAATCTGTTTGTTTAATAATTTGTAAAATATACAGACAATAAAACCAATTAGATACTGTTTCTCAAAAAAATCTGGAAGAAACATTAAGAAAAATAAGTCACATTCTATGAATAACTGGGAAATGCGTAGGAAACCTAAATGAAACCAAACACAAATAAATGTCCACTGATTAATTGGTGGAGTTTAAAGCTCTTGTAAATTTACCAGGCAACGACAAAGTGGATAAATCCAGCAAAGCAGAAACTGTTTTATTGTGTTCATCAATCGCACAGGACTCAATATGCTACTGGACGGATACTTAAGGGCACAAACTGGCTGGGGACAAACTTTTAGATATTTCATGCTCTTTGGCTTCGAACATTGCTCCTAATGTGTGTAGGAGCAATGTAAACAGTTCCTGATGGGCCTGCAGTCACATATTTGTTCTTGCAGCCGTAACCGATTCATGCTCTTCGTGTCGTCTTTTTTTTTTTTTTTTGTATTTTTTTTATTTCCAGAGGAGGAGCGTGAGCAGGTGGAGAGGCTCCGCTGGCCGTCCAGAGGATACCTGCAGGAGCTCAGCGAGTATCAGCAGCGGCGGCGCAAACTTCGCAAGTCCCGCTGCTTGGTCATGTGACCGCACCTGGAGGCCCCCGCCCTGCAGGAAGGGAACAGGGGGTGGGACGGAGGAAAGGAATCAAGGGAGGGAATGACCCGAGCGAGGAGAGGATTGTTGACTGAAACAAAAGTTTGACTTTGTGGAGCAACACTGGAAAGGACGAGTTGAGAGACAGCAACAGAAATAAACCGATCGTTTGGGACACGAGTCTCCACTTTTTCCTCCCTCCTTGCCTACAGACTGTTGCAACACGGGCAATACAAAACGACTGATCCTTAAAAACCCAAGAGGATTTTAAAAACGACCGTCTGACCTCTGGTCGGAGGCTCTGTGATAGATTATATTTTCTACTGGCAATACAGCTTCAAGGACAAAACGACACTCATCGGAAAACAAACCAGCATTAATTATATGCAGATTGTTTGAAGCTTGTTCCTAATGTAACTTCAGGTTGAAAACAAACAAACAAACAAACAAACAAAAAAAAAAGAAAACAAAAGAAGAAGAAAAGAAAATCAGGAAGTGGCCGATCTGTGTGGTACAACGTCCGGACGTCGTTATTAATTCAGCGCCTTGCGAAAGAAGTCGAACCCCTTAAACTTTTTACACGTTGTCACATTAAAACTATAAACCTTCTGTGTTTTAATGGTATTTTATGTGATAGACCAACAAAATAAAATGAAATAATCTCTTTGTGGTGGAAAGTAGACGGGAAACAATACAGATTTGTCTTTAAAATCTAATAAAGCGCGGCATGTGTTTGTATTCACACCCTGGAGGTAATACCACGTGACTTCAAGCTACGGCTTGTTCTTTCATATGGTGAAAGATCGACACACTCAGAGCGCTATCTAAGCCAAAACTGTACAAAAAAAATAAACATATTTTGGATTTAAGATAAAAAAACCAAACAAAAAACACCTTCTTTGTCTGTAAATATGATCGACCCAGAACTCCTAAAGTGTTACAGCTTTTGCTTCACGCGATTCAAATTCTGTAGCATAAATAAATGAAAAAAAATAAAAATCTCTTATTAAGCACCTTTTGGACTCATATATGAAGGAGTTAATTCAAAATACATCAGCGGATTAGTCCAACACTAAATGAGCTTTTCACATATTGATGTTAGGATTGTATTTTCAGCACTAAAATGTTTATTTTCTTATTTAAATAAGTATTTTATTTGCATCACTTAATGTATCCCTGTTATTTTATAAAAAGACCAAAGCAGTTGAGTAAAAAAAATCTGCACAAGATGCCAATTTTTTTAATCGATTAATCATCAGAATAACTGATTAGTAAAACAATCATTAGCTGTGAATGCAAAATAATTTGAGTTTCTTCTGCTAGTGTTCGATGACTGACAGTTGTCCTTCTTATGAAGAACTTTTTGTTGATGTGAATCAGAATAAAGGGGTGGAACAAATACAAATCCATGCCATTGCTTTTCAAACTCTCGCACCATTTTGTGTTGGTCCATCGCATAAAAACCCCGACAAAACTCAATCAAGTTTTGTGGTTGTGACGAGTCGGGACGCGAACAGATCCAGTGTGTTTCCATGTCCTGATGGATCAATAATGGTCACGGCGCGCGCACACGCACACACACACACACACACACACACAACACACCAGGCGTTTCTTAAAAGCGGAAACATCCGACATCCCTTTCGCCTGCTCCGGTTCCTGTCTGTACTATATCAGGAGCTCAGATCAGCGTTTGAGCAGAACCAATTTAATTGCTATTTCAAATTTTATTGCCTGATCACTAAAACATCTCGTTTGGGGGCGAAGGGGGCAAATTGGTTTAAACAAGGGCATTTTTCACTTGCACTGACAATACTAATAATAAGTCTGAATTTAAATCCTTTAAACAGATGGTGTGAAGGTTGTAAGATGACTTAAAAGTTTTATGCACCAAATGTAAACATTACTCACTATGTTTTTGTTACAGTATTATTCTAATCTGTTTAGCTTTAGTTTTTTTACAATGGTTTTGGTGCATTGGAAACATATTGAATAGTCCATATTGGGAGCATTTTGACGTATCAGATTTGTCAAAGGTGGAATAGAAAAGAACATGAATTAATACAGGAAAAACCTTGCTGCCTCTGAGTTACCACAATATTTATTTTATCCTGTTTAATTTGTTGCTATCGTTTCTTTTTAAGCAAGATTATTTTCAATCATAATGGGATTTATGATTTATGGTGCTGCAATTATTTTTGTAAAATCTATATAACCTGTGGGCGTTTCCTTAAACGTGACGTAGAGACAACGCGGCGGCTCTGATTTACAGTCGGACTTTTCGCTGCTATTTACAAGAGAAGTGTGTAAGTGAAACTCATCAGTGACCAGTTTTTACAGCTCTTTGTGTATCCCATTGATTACTATCAATGTATTATAATTAATCGCGCCATCTGTGGCACAGTCGGAACGACTAGCTGAGTAGTTGTGCAGAAACGTAGCCGAGATCCGCGTGTCGCCGTCGGTCCGTTTCACCGGAAGGCCGCCAAATTCGGCGTCCGACAAGAAGTCCTCGTATGGATCTGAACTCGTGAGCGAAGGCAGTAAATGGCAGGTGAAACTCTGGACTGTGGAACAAAAGTGGGACCCGGTGAGAACCGGGCTGAGCCTGAGCTGTACAGACTGTAGATAAAACAGTGTCTGACTTTAAATAAAGACTTGTTTTAGAACGAACACGCCGCTGCTCTTCACGTGGACGGTTCGCTTTTCATTTCCTCCAATTAATCCTGCTGATTATTGTTCCTGTTTTGGACAGTAATGGACGGTTTTACCTACATGGCGCTTGTCGGGCTTCCTAAGAAGTCTGGAAATGTATTTCCCAGGTCTGGTTTGGTATGCAGGAAGAAAACAGTGTGAAATGCAAAATGTTCTACAGTTGAATGGAACGATTTCATTGTCGGGGCTCAAGAGTTCCTTCACGTGCTTCTGGGAGAATCTTAAACTGCTTAGTGGCATTAAAGTTTCAGTTTAGCTGGAGATAGGAGTTACTCAAACTGCTGCTTATTTTTTTATTTTAGCAGTAAGTTAACAGAGGAAGAATTTGTGAAATTCAAGGGACCGAAATGGGCAAAAAAAGATGAATATTGCCAGTGGAAACGAGAGAGCAAGTGTCGGTAAACTGCTGAAAATGTTTTTTCTTTTTCAAATGAAGTCGGCTGACCGACCTTCTTCAAATCGGTGTCAAACGTTTGTGCAGCAAAAATCTTTTGTCTGTGCTGCTCTGGTTTTGAAGATATCGATGAAAGTTTAAAGGTCAAAAAGGTCAACCAGCCCCTGCCACTTTTGCTAAATCAAAATGACCTTTAAACTTTCAGTAATACCTTCAAAGCCAAAGCTGCACAAACAAAAACTGTTTGCTGCACAATCGTAGTCGAAGGTGATGGCTGGGGTTGCGGGTTGACCTTTCATGACCCCTGGAAACATTTCTCAATATCTTTAAAACGATAGCGGCACAAACAAAAACACTTTGCTGCACAAACGTTTGACACCAATTTTGTCTGATTTGAAGAACATTTAAATAATGGATGAAAAACCTGACATAATAGTAGAATAAATGCATAAAAGCATTCACAATTCAAACAAAAAGTGCCTACAAAACATATTCAAGTTGGGAAAAGTGTTGCTTTTGGACAAGACAAAAGTCATAGGAGCCATGTGAAGGCAGCAGGACGATGCAAACAAATGCAGAGTTTGGTACCTGGAAGCAGATCACTGAAGGGCCCCGATAGACTCCAGCATTTCCTTCAGCTCGCCGTTCTTGTCCAGCTCTTGCACGTCACTTCCTCCTCCCACACACTTCTCACCAATAAACACTCGGGGGACCTGCATTTTTTTTTTTTAAACCATGGTGGGAAAGAATAAAGACTGGTTAACTGATGAACAGTCTGACAATCACCCACACCCCTTCTCAGTAAAGATCTGTAAAAAAAAAAAAACCCAAAGTAATTAAATGCAGTTATAGCAAAGAAAAATACAACCAAGAAACAAGAATGGCTTCTAAGCCATTACTGAAAACGATCTGGAGCGTAAACATTGTTTGAGCTTTTATTGTAGGATTATTCAGTGGATCATGAGTCCTGGTGTAACATGAACCCTCCTCAGAAAGGAGGAAACATGTCAGTGGGTGGAGTCCACTCAGTGTGGACATTAGGGCAAATAATGCATACAAACAGATTCACACCTTTTAATAATTAAAAAAAAAAAAGATTTTATTACAACGTTAAATAGAATAAAATAGTCTTTCAGTACTTCCCCTGTTCTTGCAGATTTTTTTTTAGGAGAAAACGACTCAAGAATAATTTAAAATAGTGATTATTATTATATAAAAAGTTTTACAACGAAAAAAATAGCATCTAGTGCATCTAAAAAATAAACTTGGAATTTAAATAGTGTAATAATAACAATGAAAAAAAACGATGAAGAAGGAGATGATAATAATAATAATAATAATACATTTAAAAAACGGTGAAGAAGGAGATGAGTTTACCGATCGGGCCCCGGTGGTTTCCAGGAAGTAGTCCTGGAGGCTGTCCATGTCGCTGCGTCCGCTGATGTTAACGCACTCCAAATGGCCGGGCTTGAACTGGTACTTGGAGAACACCTCCTGAGCCATGACGCAGTAGGGACACGACGGCTTCAGGAAGACCACCACTTTGTCCCCTTTAATCTGAGCCTTCACGAACTGCTGCGCCATCTTTCTTCTCTTTCAAGACTTCTGGGTTGGTTCTGACGAGGCGTTCAATGTCGTCACTGAGAGGGCGATTCCGTTTGAACGTTCAAATAACGGGTGACGTTGAAGGCGTGTGAAGACCACCTTAAAGGCACATGACTTATTTATGTTCTCAAAGCGCAGGTATCGTTCACGTTTATATAAATACATGTAAAATACAGTATGAACTAGCTAAAATATCCATTTCTAGCTAATTATTAGAAATAAAAATGGAGAGTCATTGTAAGTCACCGGTGGTGGGAAATAACGAAGTACAAATACTTCGTTACTGTACTTAAGTACAATTTGCGCGTATCTGTACTTGACTTAAGTAGATTTATTAATGAATACTTTCGACTTTTACTCCACTACATGTTACAGTAAGTGTCTGTACTTTCTACTTCGCTACATTTCTATAAAACCGTCGCGTTACTCGTTATATCTGAGTCGCATTGCGCTTTTTTTCCGTTAGAATGTGACGTTCAGGGACTTAACGTGGCGCCGTAAAATCGAACGTACTAATTACGTGTGTCTGTCGTCGCCCGTCGCTTCCCCCCTTTCACTCAAATCCAAGTTTTTTCCAAGCGGGAGAAGATGTCTGATGTTTTACTTTTAATACTTATTTTTAAAAGCGAGTACTTTTGTTCTTTTACTCAAGTAAAAATGTTAATGTGGTACTTTTACATTGTTGTCTGTGTATTTGTACTTTTACTTCACCCTTTAACAACCACACCAAGAAAAAAAACCTGTGAAAAGTACATGACGTAATAAAAATACCAAGTACAGTAGCTAAATTAAAATAAAATGCAAATTTATAAAGAATTAAACAACAAAAAATGTCTAGGGCATTGGATACAGTTTATTCGTGTCAAAATGCTACACAACACTGGTTTTAATTTCAACCAAGGAAAACATTGCATGAACAAGGAAATATTGCATTTTTAGTTTTCCCATCTTGACTGTATCTGTACTAAAGTGCAACAGCACAAAATTCTCACATTCAATCCACATCTGATTATAGGTAACAGTGCAAAACATTCACTTTGACATTCAAAAAGGAAAAGAAAATACTGCAGAACAATAGAAACATTTGTCGCTTTTATATCTCAGCACACCTTTCCTGTTTTGGTGCAACAGCATGTATTTTGGGACAGAAGTGTCACATATCTGGAGGATTGATTGAATTAGTGCTTCTTGTTTTCATTTAAACTTTGAAAAAACTTGGCAAACACAGAAAATCATGACCAAACATTAAAACATCACATTTCCAACCTCATCTATGTGTTTGCAAAACAGCATTCTTTTTGTGCATTAGTTGCACTTTACCTCTGGTGATATAAAGCATTCCTGGTTTGCATTCAAACACAGGAAGACGTTGCATTTCTCACGTTTCCACCTGGACACTCCCTTTGGACACAAATTGCATCTCCCTCGCTTTTGAACCAAGGCCTTTTAGGTCCAAGGCCAGTGTCCCACGTTGTCATAGCGCACATCTGTTTGTGGTTTTGGTCATGATGGTCTTGGGATGTAGCCTGTCTTCAATGGTGGTGGACAGCTGGAAGATAGTCGGCCAACTTTGGATGCTGGCTTATTGAACTGTTTCAAACTGTGGGCAACTGCGTGGCGGAACCGTTTGAGAGACATGGGTTTCTCATTCAGGAGGCCACTGTCCATTTTTTAAGGTAGCCAGGAATTTGCAACGCAGAGGTCCAGGATGTATCCGAACAGAGGAAGATAGCATCTCCTTGAATTGGCCGGGGTCTTGTAAAGGCGTACTAGCATGTCAGACAGATCGATTCCTCCCATATGCTCATTGTAGGCAGAGATGAGTGATGGGCATGGGATGGTGATCTTTGCGTGGGATTCTTTGCTCCAGCGTTTCGCAGTTGAAAAGCGCATGATCCCACAGGCTTTACTAAGCAAGTTGACACATTTGTTATCCAACCACTTCACTGCAAGAACCCCTTCAGCAGCCCTAAAGTCACAAGACCCACGCCCCCTTTTAATCAGGTCTTTGTCATCAATGGAGCTCCACCAGTGCGGTTCGGTCGTACTGTGCCAATGATGCACTTGACGCCAAGGGCAGGTACTGAACCAAGTTGAAACTTGTAAAGAAGTTGTCACAAAAGACAACAGAGATCTGGGGCTTTTTTTTTTATCGTTTTGCTCCCAAAGGAAGAAATTATTACAAAAATTATTTTGTAAGATGATGTTATATTTATTCTTAGTGTATAACACTGTAATAACACTTATTGTTTCCTATTTACACCAATAGATGAAAATGACTTGATTTTATAGCAAAAATAAATAAATGTTAACTACATTACCTTGATTTTCTACAGTTATCATCAAGTGACAAATCAACCGTTTGGTCAAGTATATTTTCCTGGTTGGAGAGGGGAAGAAGAAGAATACTATTTAAAGAAACAGTGCCCTCTAGTTGATTTCTTTAGCATATCGTACCTCAACCAAGCGGCAGAGATAGCTCAATCAGGTTAAGCTAAGTTAGCCACTCCTCATGCTGAGATATAGACACAACATGTGCTAAACCATATGGTTGAGTGGGCAGTTGTCTGTTGAGATTTCTTGAAATCACTTTTGGTCACTTTTTTGAAGAAATTAAATTTAATACAGGTATTTTTTTTTTCAAAGGTTCCTCTACTTACCGTAAATGTAACCCGAGACGTTTTATACACTTAAGCCAGCATGAATTTTAGCAGATGTCCTTCCCGGTCAGTTTCCTAAAGTTTGAGGAAAGGACACATCTTTGAGAAAATGTTTTCCATATGCAAAGCTATTGGAGTTCCTTCAGAGTAACTTAACAAGCCCAGAAGTTAAGTTAGGAATGTCAGAAAGAGCATCTGACATTCTAAAAAACGACAAGAGACAGATTTCCACGTAAACCAAGTAGATTTTTATTGAAATGTCTTTTACATTTTCAGGAGAGTAAGATGACATTTCTTGTTTTGCTTGGGTAATTTTTAATTTTATTTTGCTCATTAAGACTGGTCAAACCCCTTTATTACATGAAGTCACATTAGGCCATTTCATGTTGTTCAAACCAAACTCAAGAAAATTTCTGATTAGGACAGAAACCCTCGGAATGATGAAGAGGACGACTCAGTCGATGGGACAACACCGGGGAGACTTTCAGGGGGGATAAAAAATAAAATAATAATAAAAAAAAAAGCATGCTTTAAACTCAAGGAATTCACCTTCTTTAAAAAAAATTAATTTATGTGATGCAAATTGGTGTGAGATGTTATGATATCTACACATATCATAACAAAAATAACCAAAAAGGGAAACAGAAGTTTTTTTTTCACTGATTCTGGCAGAAAACCAAAACAGCCAGTCTGCTGCAGAGACTGACCCTAAGGAAGAATGCCACAAACAACATATTTAAATCACCCAGTGGAAATGATATGGGACAAACTCTTAGTAGCCCAATATCAGATTTGAGAAAGAGGCTGATCCTCTTCACATTTCTGAACTTTTTTTTTTTAAACAGAAAACTCATTCTGTAAATCTGTTGTCTCAATATGTCCTTAACTTGTTCTCCTACCAGAACCTTCACTCCATGGACGCGGTACCGGAAAGGCATTTCATCTTTGGCAAACGTTCCAACAAGTCTGTAAACATTTCTTTTCCCTTGTTGGAAAAACAAAAACAAAGAACAGAAGCCAGCCATTCAATCCATGAAAACAAACCTGCGTCAATGCAGAGGAATTTACAAAACTGAAATCTTTTTTAACCAACGATTAAATACAAGGAACCCCCAAAGAACAGATGGGCCCTCTGTTGGATGAGGTGGCTTCTTTCAAAAACTCAAATGTACACTGTTTCCACTGGATAAACACGGGGTGGAGGTGACCCTTTCCATGGTTGAGAAAGGAAATGCTGAAGGGGGGAGAAAAAATAAAATAAAATAAAAAAATAAAGGATGTTTTGCATCACTACTTCTAGGATCAGGTACTGAGTCTCCGGCCGGGATGATCCTGAGTGCACCGGCTGGTAAACAGACTATAGCAGCTTCTTTTTTGGGGGGGCGGGGCTTTTCACGTTTCTAACTTTTATTCTCCATGTAATTCACAACCGTACGCTCACACGCTCATTCTGGACTCCGTATCCCTTCCTATCATCGTCATACACTCATTCACACACACGCACGCTCAAGTTTCAGGCAGTTGTAGTTCCTTTGCATAGCCTGTGGACCCGAGTCCACTTTCCCAAATGCAAACGCCGTAAGGCATTGTGAATTTTGTTTGGTGCAAAGAATACTGCCCCTCCCCAAGCCCCCCAGCACCCACCCAGAGGTGTCAGGATCACAAGCCTTTGGTTTCCCCAACCTCTCCCCTCTTTCACAACTAATTATCCACCACCCATGCACACGTTTTGCTACTTCTCATAAAGCTCATGTGATTCCTCCCCACTGCCTCGTTTCCTTCCCGTTTCGCTCAGCTTCGGCAGCAGTCTTTCCAGTACAGTTTTTGTTTGAGGGGAGCGGAAAACGAGGCAGCAGAAGAAGAAAAAAAATCTCAGCTAAATGAGAAGCATGGATCTTGCGTGCAAAAATGGCTTCACAAATTCAACACATAAGGCTCGTGGTATACACTTTTTTTTTCTCCTTTTTTTGCATTGCTCAAGAAAAAAAAATTAAACAATATATCATCTGCTAAATCTCGTTTTCAATACGACTCTCAAAATAAATAGATCTCCCTCTTTTTTTTTTCTTTTTACTAAAATACAAGTAAATATTTTCTCTCTTTTGCTCAAAAATACTTTCAGTCTGAAGAGAGTCCTTCACAAGTTAGAGCTGAAGATTTCACACAAGCAGACTGCTCCTTTCTGCTGATCCAGTGGCATCAATTCCACAAGACCAAATTCATCACAGGGGGGGGGAGATTTTCAATATTGCAGACTATTAATGAGCCTGTGGAATCAAAGAAAAGAGGGAGGGAATGAAGGATGAAAGGAATAGGGAGAGAGAGAGAGAAGGACGCAGAGGCAGGAAATGAAGAGGCGTTAAATAAATAAGAGCGGGTTTGGTCACTCCCACC